TGCTGCCAGCAAATACTGATTGTCAGCCCCATGTCTCTGGTAGAAGCCCAAGAACATCCATAGTGATATGCTGCACTGGTGTGCCCATGAGATAGGGACTCCTCCTGTCTTAGGAGGACCTTTTTGGTAAAGTAAGGTATCACATTTCCATTACCACATTTCCAGTGCACATTGCTTGCAGGTTACTAAATACAATTTTCCTTTTAGGTTGGATAAGGCTTTTGAAATCCCAAGATATCCAACAGTTTAAAAAATCAGCGTGCGGGCCGGGAGCGGTCCGAGGCCCTCAGGGGCCTGTGCACGGTGGGCTGTGGCCAGCAGCCCAGACACACCAGGTTGGGGAATGCAGGCCGGCGGGCTAGAATTAGGCACAGACGCTTAGCGGTTGATTAAAGATTATTTTACTTACACCAAAGATGGTCGCGGTGCAGGCTGGAAAACTTGCTTGAGTTGCAGTTACAAAACAAAACAAAACAAAACTCGAACCTGCAGGGCACGAGAGTACGTCGCAGGGGGTTTTTGGCAACGGGAAGATGCAAAACACAAGAGTACATCGCAATGGGTTTTCGGCGACGGGAAGATAAACCTGCAGGACTCGAACCCGGGCAGAGCTCTGGATACACTCACATGAAGTTTGCTAGGCTCCGTGGAACTTGCGCGCAGGGAAGGGGTTCGTTGAGGGATCGTTCGGCGACGGGGAGAGGCCAGAGGTTGATCAGACCCCTATAGCCTGCGCTGGGTTCGATAGGCTCCGCAGCGCTTAGAGATCTTCACAAGATGTGAAGTTCTCCTCCTCCAGATGGTTATGAAGTCCTCCCTTGCGGGGGTTCTCCTCGGAGTTCTCCAACTTGGGCGGAAACCACTCAAGCCTCTTATATGGCTAGCAAGCCAATCACTAGCCGCCACGTGGGAATAATTTAGAACCGGCCAATAGTGGGACACAAATTTGCATGCGAATAGCGGGAACTCCTTTGCACCGTGCATTTCTCTTTGCAACTAAGAAATGCACCCTGCAAAGAAAGCTCCTAGTGGCGGGGAATAATTTAGCAGTGCCGAAGCGCACACAAACAAAATCACACCCTTGGGTTGTGACAATCAGTAACCTCAGAACCTCTTTTTTTCAGTTTGTCTGGTGTAATCGCCTGATACCCATCCTCATAACCCACTGGATTCTCTCAACTCCTATAGAGTATTTTATCTTTAAACTCCAAGCACTTATGATGGGCAAGCCTTTCTTGTGGTATTCTAAGGGAAACGATACTACTCCTGAGTGGCTGCACTGCCCAAATTATATTCCAATCCTGCAAGATTCTGGTATCAAGTTTTTTCTTTGCGAAACTTCTCGCTGCACTCAAGTCCATTCTTGCAATGCCCCATCTATTGTCCTGATGAAAACAGGAACATTTGCCCTAGTGCAACTTATAGTGTAGTCTCCTTCACTTTTCTCTTGCTAGGCTTGGTGGAATATTTTAGCTATAGCGCTTATTCCCCAACCAGTTTGCTTCAGAGAATGTTTACACTGCATTCACTGCTGCTTGTGTAGACATCTCCAAGCTAGCTTCAAATTAGCTAGTTGATGTAAGCACAGTAGGCCTGGATGGGTAGACCACTGCATGCCTTCCAAATGGTACATATAAAGAAATATATAAACCTTGTATTACCAATTAATATGTAGCACTACAGCTTTTTGTTCTGTCTACACAACACCTGGTTTTCTGTTGACAGACATGGGTTTTCACTCTGCGTGCCTTCATCCACCGTCCTGATCAAGAGGCTTATATGTCTTTCTTCTGCCTGACATAAAAAAGGTTAATATTCTTCCTTTGGGTAAGCTCCTTCCTCCAAAAATATGCATAATAGAAACCTCAACTATCTAAAAATAGAAGGAAAAATGAGGAAAAAAGGTTAATAGAAGTTCCAGAGGAAAAACTGAACTGGAAAGGAAGCAAAGAGGTGAGTTTTCTCTATATTTGGGATAGTTTTCAGTGAAGTGAAGCAACTTGCCCTTGTCTAATTGAGGTAAGAGAGAGCTAGTTAGCTAGGCGTAAGGCAGGGTAGCACCTCATACTAAACAACTGAGATACATACACTTTCTAAGCAGCAGTTTACTTCATCAGATGCTCTGGAGGGCCTGAAGGAAGCAGTGAAAGCAGCAATTAGAGTACACAGGGTAGAGAAGAGGAGGAAAAAGGAGAGAGCACGCTCAAGAGTAGCTGAGAGAGAGAGAAAAATAGACCATCGAGGGACATCGGGTTATAAAAACTAATCCAGATAATTGGGTAGGAATTGGTAGAGCCACAGTCTGTATTTCCATCCTGACTGTTGTCTCTTACAGGTTACTTTTGACTGGCACTAAAGCCACAGGCAAGAGGAGAGGCTTTCTGACAGTGGTTACTGGCCCGAATACTTGAGGTGATCCAGTCTGTGGATAATTTCTTGTTCCACAATTTCCCAGTCCATGCGTTTCCTAGAGTTTTGTTATCCAGCCAGTGGAAAAAACTAAGTTACATTTTAAAATGCTTAGGGACCAGTGGAAAGCAGGACCCGAATCTGCGGTGTTGTCTACGACCTCGGCACCCTGAGACAGCCCGCCTTGTTTGAAGAAAACACTTCCCGCCTTCCCAGGAGCGGAGGGAAAAGGAAGAGGTCTCCGAGGCGGGGTGCTCCACATCAGGGGAAGCCGGGCCTCAAAGCCTGGGCTGGGGGTAAGGGCGAGGCTGCTGCTCAGGGGAGGCCGGAGGAAGAGCTCTCCCCGTCCCCCGGACTGGGGCAGGGCGGTCTCGCTCCTCTCCGGGAGAGGCGGCGCCTGTCTGCTAGGGTGAGACGAACGAACCCAGCCGGCGTTTAAGCTCAACCCCGGGCGCCACTCTCCGCAGGGGAGGAAGCCCGGCCCGGGCCGCGGACACCGGCCGGGCGGGAGCGGCGCGCGCATGCGCAAGGCGAGTGTCGGGCTGTGAGGCGGCGATGGCGGCGCTGCGGCTG